AAAACACTGGAAGGTATTATCATTTAAATATATAGATATATATATATATTTACAGGTGTCTGTAGGGCTACTAAACCATGTGTGGTTCATTGACAATGGATTGCAAATTCATTCATTTTCCTTTCTAAAGCAGTCTTGTCAGGGGAGATGCTGCCTCTATAGAGAAGTGTCCGGGGTAAACAAGCTTGGAAAGTCAGACACAAAATCACTGGTAATTCTGAGTGTAGGAATATATGTTATGTCACTCTACTTAACGGGCAGGCTGCAGTGCGCCGCAAGTTGCATGGCTTTGAAACAGGCATGTATGTGGAGACTCAACTGGAGTAAATGCATACATCATCACACCAAGGATAGATGGATGGCTTTGTAGCACATGGGTGGAAGGGCGAGATGTAAGAGTTGCAGAGTTAGTAGGACAAGCTAAGAGGAGTTGACCTCTTTCTTTTAATAAACCAAAAGATAATTTTTACACAGCATCTCTAAAAATGGTTTCACATTTAAGCAATACTGGATTCAAGATAATACATAAAATATCTGCAATCAGTATGATTAAACTTTGGAAATAGCCATACTGTATAACAATATCTTTTCAGGAGTATCTGGATTGTTTTTTTTTAAAAGCTATTCATTATACAAGGCCACTATTGTAATATCTTGTGAATTATTTGCGTAACAATTTACTTTCATGTACACAGAACTCTGAATGGATCAATCTCTGGAAATCTCTGTAGAAGACTCCTATCAGAAATCTTTACACTATGGTTTAAGAGATTTGATCAAATATTGTATTTCCCTAATTTAGTTACCAACAGATAACCTCACTTATGAAACAAGTTGAACTACTCTAAAGCACCCTCCTCTCTGCTCTCTTCCTTCTCCCCTTCTACATTCTCTTTCTCCTCCATTTCCACTTTCCTCTTCCCACTCTTGTTAAGGACAGCCTCCTCCAGAAAGCCTTCCCTGTAGGCAAGGCACCTAGGGATGTTCCCAAATGCACTTCTCTCTCACTGCATTTACTTCAACCCTCCCCTCTTATTATAAGCTCCTGAGGACAGGGACGAGCCCACTTACAGTTTTTATTCCATGTTTCTACTACTGTTTGTATTTCTACCATCATATGCAAGAACATCCAATAAATATTCTTTCAAATAAAAAATTGAATAAATAATTTTTGGCCAGGTTCATCCAACAAACTTAGGAGGTCATTCTAAATAAAGTATTGTTCTTCCTCCTTAACAAAATAGAGCAAATCACTTTATCAAGGTGTTACTAAATACAGGATAAAATTGACATTTAAATAAAAACTGACATTCAAATACTTGGTATCAAACTTGTTCCAATTAATAATTATGATTCTTGTATGAAAAGTTTAAGATGGAAAAGAGGCAGTCTATTCCCTACTGTAAACCGATTTCTTCACTATCCAAAGATTAAGTTACCCAAAATAATGATGTGATAACAGCATTATCAATAAGAAAGGGACTACTTATATACTAAATATGAAAACTATTTTGCTCATCTAGAATGATGGTTTCCAAAGTGATGGAAAGAGTATAGCACTCAAGGCTATCTTTTCTACTATAAGACTATACAGAATAGCTATTTTTTCAAAAATCAGACTTAATAGTCATTAAAGGGTATTTATTTTGAAAATAAGATGAGTTAAAATTTCTTGCCAACATTTGTCTTTCTTTAAAAAATAATCTCAGAGGTAACTGAACCAGGAGGTGTAATTTCTAATTATACCACCAGCAAGAATAAGAGAATTTTTTTTAAATTATTAAACAATTTCTAAATACTCCCTTGTCTCCTTCCTGTTATATTTACTAAAATATATTTTAACCAGAGTTTATGTTTCTCATTATTCTTTTGATATTACTAACTTCCTTACTTTGAAATTTGGAACCAAAGCAAGTGTTACATCAAATCTTATGGACAATTATCACTTTTCTGCACTAAATAATAATCCAAGGGGCCAGCCCAGTGGCAGAGCAAATTCACACATTCTGCTTTGGCAGCCCAGAGTTCACTGGTTCAGATCCTGGGCACGAACATACTCACAGCTCATTGAGCCATGCTGAGGCGGCGTCCCACATACAAGAACTAGAAGGACCTACAACTAGGATATACAGCTACGTACTGGGGCTTTGGGGAAAAAAAGAAAAAAGGGGAAGATTGGCAACAGATGTTAGCTCAGGGCCAATCTTCCTCAAAAAAATAAAATAAAAATAAAAATATGCAATTTTGTTTAAAAAAAAATAATCCAGAAATATAATTCTCCACAGCTGAGAGAAAGCAGACCATGTCCAAATCTATGTAGTTTCTTTTTGAATTAGAGCATATTTTTTTAATTGAGCTATGATGTGCTTACAGTAAGAGCCATAATCTGTTCTTATCTAAGTGTGTAGATATATATACACACTTAGAATCAATGTAAATATAGAAACCTGTGTAACTGCCACCTGAAATGGAGTCTGTGTTTAAAGAGTCCCTGCTTACAGTAATTGCATTACTAATTATCAACCATATTTTCACAACTGTCTCAACTGCACAAAATAATAATGAAGATTATGTCCTCTTCTTTGAACTTAGTCTTCATTCCAACAATTTCTTTAATTTTGGGATACACATACATCTTCCATTAATATTATCCATTTTCTTAAAAGCTACCTTGATTCCCATAAATATTGAGAACCTTTATCTACCCTAGAGTACTTCCAAAACCTTTGAGATGAGATTGGCCAATCTGATGAAAGGAAAGGGAAGAGTGCCTAAAGGAGAAATAACAGTTGATTACACTTGCAGAAGTATCCAAGTTTTTAGAAATTATGCTTAGCGTCTCTCCATTTCGTCTTCAGTGAAGAGCCATTCAAAAGTTAATGGATGGGGAAGCCTATGCATGCAAGTGGTTACTTGTCTCTGAATTTGCACTTAACAAAAGATCTCAGTGTCCTAAAGCTGCCGCACTTACTCCAAAGTTATTATTTGAACATCACATTCAGTTTACATGTTTACATCTATTCCAAGGAAATATTAATTTATTGAACCCATGACTAATAAAAGAGTGAAACTTGCAATAAAGTCCTTATGTACAACTCAAAATTGTTGCACTGGAAGAATGGGGTGAAACTAGCATTTAGTACATTACAAAGATGGTATAATAGTTGGTGGTTTTATTCTTTAACATAAAACATGCACTTTAGGGTGATAAGTTGAGAGGTTGTGAAATGAATCTGATGGTATATTAGAATTTGGTTTGCTTGTATGATTTAGTAAATTACATGTGCATTTCAGAGGAAAGGCTAAGTAAAGTGTAAAGTTTCTTGCAGCCATATGTGCACTTTTCATATAACGTATGGGGAGGTCTAGTAGAAGAAAGAAGAAACATTTTCCTACATGTTCATTTAATTGTGCATAGATTTCACTCTTCACTATGCCTCTTTCAGCCAACAGGGGTAGAGATGGTGATGATGTGAATGATGATGATTAGAGCCTCAGTTAAAGGATTATTAACCATGATCTCAATTTAACTATGACCTACTAATTCCCTAGGAATTGGGTACTACTGCCTCCATTTTACTGATAAAAAAACAGAAGCTTAGAAAATTTAAATAACTCTTTTCAAATCTTGCATCTGGTAAACGAAAAATCTTTTTAAACTGGTTTTATCGATTAAGGGAGAATAATAACAATATCCCCTTAAAGGGTTGTTATAAGATTAAGTTAGAAAATACAGGGAGAGCACTCAAACATGTTAATAATATTTATTATTTTTTATCAATACTTTGTAGTCTGTTGAGGGAATGGTTCCTTTCTTCATAAAGTCTTGCAGGTAGAACAGGATTGCAAGAGAAGAGCAAAGAACCCTTGTCTGTGCCTTCTCAGTTAAGGCAAAATTGTATTTACTCATTAAGGTTAAGTGACTAAAAAAATCAAACTCGTACCGATTTTCAGAGTTCAAAAATATCTAAGAATTGTGTTGAGGTGTGAAACTAGAACCCAATAAATAAACAAGCTTCACTGTATTTAAAACAAAGAAACAAACATAAAAAATGTCAAAGGCCAAACATTAAAGACATTAATTATTGTATGATAAAAATAGAATCCATGATTTTATTATGAGCGTACTTCTCTGTGGCTGATCACTGCATATTAACTGTCAGGGCCACTCTAAAATAAAAACCTTGTATTATGTTTGACTTTATGAGTAAATCCTATATTCTTCAAATCTTCTACCCAGAGATGATCTATTACCTTTTTTAATATTAGAGGCAGGGGTTTCAAGAACAGTATCCTTGATTTTTTTCTCACTAAAGTTAATTTGAAAATTCACCCAGCAATCAAAGGTTATTCCAAAGCAGTGGTGATTGTTACATATTCAGGACTTTTGCAAGCCAGTTGAGGTCACATTGGTAGCTTGAAATCAGCCATGATGAAAGTATTCACATCTTTATAACACAGAAATAGGCAAATACTACAAATTAGGACTTTTTAATTTTCCCCGGAGAGACAATTGTTAAAAATTTACCAGGACACCACAGTTCTAAAACCACCCTTTCTATTATGACAAAATGAAACATAACAGAATCTTCACATTACCAGTGACCTCTATTGACAAGAAGTCAACCATTTATTAAAGGAACTTTGGCATTCCAAAGCTCAATACTTCACGTTATCTTTGGTGTGATTCATTTTTGCTCTGATAGGAACCATATTCCTTTCTCCTGTTTTACTCTAGGTCTCTCAAAAGTTAACAAGTCTCTTTTAATATAAAAAACATGGAAACAGACTGTCCCTAATTTCCCTTTCAGCTATCGTGTACCCTTGGTCTCATTCCTCAGACCACTGCAATCTGGTGTCTGCATCCACAACTCAAATGAGACAGCTCTCTTAAAGATTGTAGAAGACTTTGTGTACACCATACCAAATCCCATTGATTAGGCCAGTGGACCAGGGTCCTCCCCCCAACTGCTAGATTGTTGGCTGCTGAGGAGTCATACCAACACCCTTCTCTGGATGAATGCCCTTGGCTGAAGGAAACCTCTGCCTGGAGGTTTATGCTTGCAATCACTGGCCAGTCCAGTGATGAGGCTTTGCTCATAGCCAATGACTGATAGACGTAGGGCTCTAAACCCATGCCATTTGCCTCAACACAAGACTCTGGTGCAATACACTCTAGAGCTCACCTTGGAATCAGGCTTACACTTGACTCCATTTGAGTTTGTTTCCCTCCCCTATCATGATTCCCTGATAACATCAGAAGTTTCTTCAGAGTGCACTCCCTCAATACATCACTTCACTAGAATCTCAGCTTCAGGGAACCCAAAATTAAACAAAGGTCAATGAAGATCTGCTTTCCAAATCCAGCAACCTCTTCTCAATCTTCATCCTTCTAAGACCCTATGTAACTTCCAAATTTGTTGATTGCCACTATCCTTCTTGAAACCCTATTTTTCAAAAATATTTAAAATAAGATTCTCTTATGGTTTTCAGTATATTCCTTTCATTCTTTCTCAGTATGTTTGGTTGGACCATCTGTTCCATTCTCTTATCCTTTACATTTTATCCTGGTAAAAACTACCAGGAGGCTTCAATACCAGATAAACACAAAACTCCCAAATGCATATTATTTTCCTATATCTAAAATAGTATTTTGCCAAAACCTGATCATCTTCTGTTTTCCTTATCTATCAAAAGCATCACAGTCCATGGAGCCACCAAAGCATGAAGTCTTGGAGTTCATTCATCTTTAATCCTTTATATTCTCCCTTACTTCTTACGCCAGTCAGTCACCAAGTCATGGCAATAGGAACTGCATTTTATTTTTGCCGCTTTTTCCTCCTTTTCATTAACATTGCATCTGGAAAGTTTATGTTTCACTAGAAACATTTCAGATGCCTCCAAATGTGTCCCCCTTCCTTCCATCTGCTGGGCCAGACACACATGTTTCATACAGCCAGTACAGTTGTTTTTCTAAAAATGTGTTGACTCTATCACTTCCCTATTTAAGAGTTTTGCAGATCTCCATATTTTTTTTATAAAAAATTTCCCCATTTATCTTAAAACAGCATCCAAAGACTATTAGAAGTTGAAGAAAATAATGTTTTTGTCACATTTTCTGCCAACTTCTCAGACAACCTGTGGTCTACCAAGAGCAGTCTATTTGCAATTCCAAAAAGACACCACACGTTTGCATATTTCAGTGGCTTTGTTCGCGTTTCTCCCTCTTCCTGTAATGCCCCTACTCCTTCATACACTGGCCTGTGTCACTTCTTATATGGCTAAATTCCAATGACTCACCTTTTATGTAGCATTTCAGCCAAGGTATTCTCCCTCCCTCAGGACTTCATGATATATTTTTATATCTTTATTATTAAAGTTGGACTTTTGACATATTTGTAGTTTTGTGTATATATTTGTCCTTCCTAGAATGTTGACTATAAATACCGAGAAGCAGGAGGAGCACTAATCATCACTTTTTATGTTTCTTCTGGTGTGTAGTACAGGGCTTTACACAAAATACTTGCTCAATAAATGTTTGGAATTCAATTCTAAAAATAATGAACAACACAGTCAACAATCATGACTGTAGCAGATTTATGTTTCCTATTCAAAAAAAAACTTAAAAATATGAAAAGAAAAAATGGACAATAAACTCCCATAGTAAAACAGTCAATGAAGTACTTCCAAACAAAATAACATGGCTAATAAGATAAAAGCATTAATTGACATAAGATGATGCAATTCACGTTATGTTAATCTACTTTCATGTTAAGGTCTTAGGAGGATTCCATTTATTCAGATGATAAAATGAATTAAAATGCATCCTGAAAGGTAACTCAAATTTTAAAGCTCGTATCTCATCATTTTTAACATTAGCCTCAGCTCAGATGTTTTGAAAATCTCGAGCAACTTGCATAAAATTAAAATATAGGCTGTCACTGAGAATATAAATAAATATCTTTCTTATGAGTCAAGCTTGCCTCATGAGTTTTCTTAAAAAAATGGTATTCACGATTGGCAGTGGTATTCAAATCATGGATTTTTTAAACATTTAAGGAAAAACAAAATATTTTTTTAAAGATAATTTTTTGAAATAAAATGTTTCTATTCTTCCACCCTTTACCTCCCCTTTGTTTCCATTACGCCATCAATCAGATAAACATTAAATGAATTCCTTTTTTCTAAACATGTTCACATTCCTTTACTCTAAACCAAAATATTTCTAAGCTAAAGAAACCCTTTGTGATTCTTAGAAGGTGATCTGATTCTTCAAGGCTTAGAGATGCATGGTATGTACAAAAATCAAAGAAAATGTCAAAATTCCTGCTCTAAATAAGTCCACACTCTCATAGAGTGAAAGGACGGAATCAAAATTCAAACATTTCTTCAAAATGGTTGATCTTCCCTAGCACAAACTGAAACTTTTATTGTGCTGTAGAGAGTATGAATCACGAAGCTCAGTGGACACTAAAATATCCCAAAAAGAAAGTGCATCTTGACAAATTAAACAGAACCTCAATCTGTCCACGTGTTCAAAACTCATTGCAATATTTTGTCAGTTTTACTTATGTTTGTTGTACTTAAGATAGCCCACTCCATTACTTTCCTTCCTTCCTCCTTTCTTTCCTTCTTCTTTCCTTCCTTCATTTGATTCTCTAAGCTATTCTAAATTACTAGCATAAATTCAATGCCTTTTAAGTTATTTCTGCAAAGAGTAAATACCATTAGTATTATGCATCGGCCACCTTGTTAGAGCTGACTACTTCTACAACGACTGAATTTCCATCCGTAATCTTTAAGCAGGGCAAAATAATTTAGATGATCTACATAGCATTAGCACAGTGTATTACTTTGAAAAACAGATGAATTTTTTATGTAAAACGCTACTGAAACACTCACTTAAATGTAACCATTCAATTTTCTACCTCAAGCCCAAAAGCTCTCCTTGCTGGCATAAGGTATTTTTCTTTATCTAGCATACCTGATGTTGCAGGCCCCTTTCTCACTCCATATTCTGCAAGACATGCTCAGATTCTCTTCCCATTCAATTTATGACATGATTCATTGAATGCTACAGCCTACTTGAGGATTTTTTAATATTTTCCAGCCCTGCAGTAGAAATCCATTTTTCCAATAAGAAATGTAGTGATGACCCTGTCAGCTAAGTATCCTAATTCATCTGTCTGTGTGAAAAAGCCCTTCCCTCCAGGCTCCTTGAGAATTCATATACGGATTGTTCTGTATGCATCAGCATCTGCAGAGAGACTAGCTTTCACACTTCTTTAAAAATAAAAAAATATATATATTTTACAACTCCAGAAGTAGTAGATAATAATCAATTCAAAATGTTATGATCACATTTTTTCTGGTTCTCAGAGATATATCTACAGTTACGAGATGAAAGAATTTATAAAAGTTAATGCACTACCTGAGCATTAAAAATAAGGCATATTTCTCTGGACTCACATTGTGCTGTTACCAACAGAAATTTTTCTAACCAACGTAATATTTACTGTTAATTCAGAAATATATCCCAAGTCTTTAAAATTGATATTTCAATATTGGTCAATATTTAAAAGGATCTAAATGTGCTTTTAAGAAGCATAAATATAAGAATCTAGAAATCATTGTGTGACCAGCATTAAAAATTATAAAAATTAAGTAAAATTTCTCCAACTGCATATATGGGATGGTGTGAATAGAAAATGTATTTTAAACATGAAATCACGTGGTCAAACGTGATTAACTTTCAGGGGAGGAGAAGAAACAAGGCCAGTTTCCCTTGAAGTCTCATATTTTGTTTGTGTAGTCTGTCTGTTTTATTTTCAGAAGGTTTTAAAGAAGGATGTTCTGACCTGCTGCATGCTTCATTATATCCTGAACCCCTTAACACAGTTTTCCCAGGATTGATAACCAGCAGTGGACATTGACAGCTGCACCTTCCCTAACCTGGTTTAGCTAGCCTATTCCATCATCTGCGCGTATTTTCATTCATTCAACTGTTATTGAATATCTTCTCTGTGTGATGCATTGAGCTAGATGTCAGATAATACAAATGCGTGCTAAACAGAAAGACGAGTAAGACAAAGTTTCTGATCTCAAAACTCCTAAAATCTAGTAAGGGAGACAGTGATGTGCAACTATAGTGATAATACAAAATATAATATATAATTGATAAAAATGGGAATAAATTTAAAAACAGGAAACACTTCAGGAAAGAATTGCCATCGAGCTGAGTCCTGGCAGTTGAATATGACTTTCACAGGTAGAGATGGGGGAAAGGAATTCTAATTCAATAGAGTGTCTTAAATTATTACAGAAAGAAATGTATATGTATGCCAGATCTCAGGAATGAATAATTCACTATTGCTAACACATACGGAAAGAAGAATCTAGAAGGAGAGAAATTATAAAAAGCAAATACCACACCATGATAGAAGGAAATAGTTACCATCACCTCTAAATTAGCCTTTACTCATTTTCATTAGGTGGATATATAATTTTGTTTCAGTAAATTCTGAGACCTTCCTGATGATACTGAATAATACTATCTCAAAAGAAGTCATGGCCACCCTTTTCTGATGACTTATAATTCTTTTACTTCAGGGTTGATAAACTGGCAGAATTTTTAAGACTCCAGGGCAACAAAGTATAGGCAATTTTGGTATAGATTCCAGGATCATGGGTTGAAATAAATGTGTATTTATGCATTTCTGAAGCTCTTATTTCAACCCAGATCAGCACAGTAGGCTAACGTGCATGCATTAGTTTCTAAACAGAGGCTGAATCAGGGCCTGAGGCCCCCACTGAACTAAGTAGTCCTTTTAGTTAGTGGATCCTGAGGTGGTCACTGAGTTCCTCTGGAGTGTCCAGGGCAGCTGGGATGGCAGGGGACCTTAGGAAAGCTTGGGCAGTGGCTATCTACCACATTTTCCGTTGTTATTAATCCTCAAATCTTAAAAGTTAAAAATTTCAAAGTTTTTACAACAAACACAGGCATTTCATTGTGTACTAGCTGAATCTAATCCATTTACCATCCCATCTCTTACTTTTCTTTCACAGCAAAATTCTTGAAATAAAAGCCCACCAGACTGTAATTGCAATTATTTGTTAAAGTCCTATTTTTCACCACTG